TTAAAAAAATTTAAAAAAAAAAAAAAAGGGGGGGGGGGGGGGGAAAGGGGGAAAAAAAAAAAAAAAAAGCACAAGCCTGTGAGGAGGTTAACAAGTTTAATTTCTTTTCATGGTTCATAGAACCAATAAATGCATGAGTGGAAATATACTGCAACAAAGTTCCAATACTGCCTAGAACTTGAATTCAAGTTCAGACTTGCACGTTACCCACCTGTACATACAGTAGTCCCCTGTGAACACGCTGCTTCTAACTAAATGTAAAAGATGCTGAGGCCATGTGCTCTTCCTAGGGTAACTGTGTCATAGTTACGCAAAGGATTAAGTTGGCTCTCATCATAACATAGGAAGAGTCCTTAAATAAAAGGCTCAACAAAGTAAACTTTGCTAATCATCATCAGTGGAGATACGGGAATTTTTGTCCTCCTACACGTATGCCTTGTACAAAGGAAGTGGATTTGGGTTTACAGTACTTTTTACTGATACTTAAAACAATGGAATTGCTCTAATTCTTAAACAAAACCAGTTGACTTGAGTTGCTGGAGCAAGAAGTTTGCTGTAAACTACTTGGCCCCAGCTCTGTTCAGCCTGCACGTGTGGGAGGGAGCGGTACGGAATTGTGTGACACTGCAAGCAGGCACCACGTCTGGGAAAACACTTTGCATCCTACTTGCTTCCCAAGCTGGCTGGACAGCAGAGGTGAAGCTGGACACCTACTCAAACAAAAAGTCATGAAAATCTGAAAGCGAGGAAAGAAACCTCCAATTTTCAAGCAATTAGTGAATAAAAAGTAAGAATACCACTGCATTCCACCAAGGCAAGCATTCTTATATTTCTTGATTCACACAGGAAGAGGGAGCAAGCACAGAAGCACGTAGGTTTGACTAAACAAAGTTCAACTTCTGCTTATGTGGGCTTTGTGCAGTTCGTAATGGTACTTACAGTGAGCTGTTCGCAGATAGGTTTGTTTCACAGCAACTCCAGATAAGCAGATGCTTTGTTACCTTTCTCTCTTGCTATGAGAGCTGCTCACAGCAAGAGCTTATTCACTAGGGAAGATAACTTGCATTTCAGAACCCCAGTTTTTACTTCCGAATTCTCCTATGCACGAGGCAGTATTGGTGAAGGAAATGCCCGCTGACATTTAAAAGTTAAAGTGCATTTTCCTCTTGAGAACAGGCCTGACAGGCTGCTCTCGTACATTTTCCATCACAGGCAGCACCACAAATCTGTCCTGTCAAGGGCTGTGTTGAGCAGGGCACGGGTCACAGAACGTGCTCCAGAGAAAACAGCCAGGCTGCCTAGCAGGAGCGAGGAGGAGTGATCCTCTCCCCTGGAGGAGGGAGAGCAACTGGCAGAAGTCACAGCATCCAACCATCGACGCTAGCCCAGGCTAAGTGGGTGGCGAGCGTGAAGCCTCCCGCCGCCCAGAAACCACGCTTCTGCCAAAGGCAAGTACTCCTCCTGGTAATTCATTTGTGGCTGCCTGCTTCCAGAGGTTCTAGAAGGAAGGTCAGGCTCTCGCTGCCGCTGTTGTATCTGGTTATAGGCACTGGTCAGTCAGATCTCAGCAGAAATATAGGGCTGCAGCAGTACAGCCTGCCCCAGGGCCGGCTGTTCAGACCTAGCAGACGAGGACTAATTCCAACAAATGTTATTCAAAGCTACCTTCGGCCTCATGGAGTCAAACACGGAATTAAGATGATGATCTTAAGAGTGACAGTTGTTTTAATCACCGTTTCTCTCTTACCCTCTTTTTCCAAAGTGAAAGAAAGCTAACAACCACAAGGAATTCACTCTTGGTGCTCTGCAAACCACAGACAGCAGTGCCTCACATCGAGCCTAGCGCTGTAAATCCTTTCCCGTTTCCCCTAGAGCTAAAGAAGAATTAAAATGATCTCAGGAGTGCCTGTTAAGGGGAAGCATTCAACAGCTCCAGAGCTGGCCATAGGAACAGGTATATAAGAGCACAGTAGGAAAAACAAACTTAACTCCCAAGTTATTTGCTTGCTTTTGTGTAGTTTCCAGGCCTCAACTCATCATGGCTTGTAAATCAGAGCGTGCTCCTTGCATAGTGAGCAGGATTAAAATCTTGTATTACTTTAGCTAAACTAATTCCAGTGGAGTAATACTTCCATAGAAAAAAAATAGAAAAATCCATTAGATTACAGTTTTGGGAAGTGTGTTCAGCTAAAAAACACAATAAGGGTTACCTAACCTTTATAGACAAGTGAAGTTTTCATCTGATTAATAAAGGAGAATCGCACATAATCCGTCACTTTTCCTAGCACTCAGTGTGTGGCAATCGCTACCTGTTTTACATGCACTAAAAAGCCTGCGCATCAGAAATGGTACATTTACACAAACACACAATGCATCTGGAAAAATCCAAATCAAAGTTTGAAATAAGATAAAATCCAACAAACTTTGCACACAGTAGAGATGCTGTGTGTAACAGGGGAGGGAACAGGCATTCATCCATAACACAGAGGGGCTGGAAGTCACACCCTTCCATATCAGAACACAGAGCAAATTTGCCTCTGGAACAGCTTCTCCCTTCACAACTGCCCCGCACGGCTGCTGCCTTCTTCAGCACATCGACTGTGTAGTGCCCCAACTAGCAGAGCAAAGAAACCGCATCCCAGTTTGCCTTCAGGAGTGAATTTGATTCTCGCAGTTCGTAAATGACATTTCCTTTTTTACTTTTTAAGTAGTTGACTTAGTGTTGACTTCATGTTTTACTAGGGTTTTTTTTTCCCTTCACGCTGGTAGAGGCTATTTCTTTAAGTCAGTCACTGACCACAGAGACTTCTTCCTCTTCAGCAAAGCAGCCCCAGAGGAGGTGAGAATACAAACCACGCTCAACCCAACAGCTACTGTTTCATCTCCACCCACAGTGCGCGGTTCATAGTGTCAGCCTCCACCCAAGGGAGCCTGGTCAGCACCCTTCTCCTGACCCACATACCAACATCCCTGTTAAAAGACATTTAAGACCAGGCAAGAGCTCAGTGCTAATAAAAATACATGACCGCGTAGGAACGCAGACAGCTATTTGCTTGTGCGGCCAGTACTGCTCTCCCTCTCTGCATTGGTGAAACTCTGGCATGCAATCGTTTGAGGACAGCATGTATCCCGAAGAAAACGCATAGCTCATCTCATTCTGTGACTTAACCAACCTCCTTCACCTCTGTTCTTTGACAGTAAAATTAAAGAAAGTTTAAACAGTGCTTTATAATGAAATAAATTAATTCCTGTGTGTTTCTGCATCAATAAAGCCAAACATGGCAGGATTAAGTGAGAATGAACTAGACTAAGTCTAATATACTACCCGTTCTGTCCTGACACAAAAAATTACTGGTGGAAAAAGAAGTCTGAAGGAATTTCTTTACTATCCTGACCCTGTTCTTGAGGGAATAGTGAGCTGTAGCCCCCTTACTCCACAGGGGGGAAATCCCTTCTGCATCTCCCACACCCACTGACCTCCTATGTTTCTGTTTTCCATGTGATCGTACACGTGCTTTCACATCAGCGCTCTGAGCAACGTTTTCTGCCACACCTATTCTCTGTCACTTCTGATGTGGTGAAGTAACTACACTCCTTTTTCTGTGTTCTTTGGCATGCATGATTGGGCAAGAACACAACGAGGAAGGCTGAAAGAAGCAGAAACCCCAACATGAACCATCTCTAGATGTTACCATGAAAGGTGAAGGCTGAAAGCGCACTGTCACTACCACCCACGGATGAAGAGACATGGGGTGTCCCCCCCAACTTCTGACCTTTTGTTTGTTGGCTGACCACTGCCCTGGTTCAGTGACAGAGACAGCACCATACTGCCAGGACAGAGGAAAGTGGCTGCAAACAGAGAACTCCTCCTTGTCCTTCCCTGTTGCTCAGCCAGGCCTTCCTTCCTTTCTCCCTCTTTCAAGTTCATTTTGCAGTCACAGTTGGTTTCCATTCTTTGAGGTGATCAGTCTCCAGGAGGTTGACCCGTTTAGCAGCAATATAATCAAACTAGCCGCCTTAGTGCTGGTGGTGGTCTCCACTCCTCCTGAGCAGCTGCAGCTTGCGCCTTCACTGTCAGAGCTGGAAGAGGGGATTGTATTTCCTAATTTCCTGCAGAAGGCGAGCCTTGTCCATGTTGGCTTCTGCAAGGGCTATTTTCATGGTCTGAAGCTCCCTTTGCAACTCTGGCACTTCCTTTAACTGCAAGAGACAGGGGAAAAAAAAACAAACCAGGAGTTTCTAAAGGTAAGCAGCAGGCCAGATCTGACTACACTCATCTGCTCAAAAAGGAAAACCAAAGCAGGAGCTTTTGAGATGAATTACACAGCGTGACACAACCACACAAAGCTCACTGACAACATGACCCAGTTTGATTTGCAGGAGTACGTACTTGCCAACTGGTGCCTGCTGACTTCCATACCTGTCATTAAAGACAGCTCAGGCTGCCAGTGAGGGCTGCCTAATGACTATTTTCTCCCCAAGACTTCCCTTTTCATTTCTAGGCACAGGAACAAGACTTGCAGTGGGCAAGGTTTTTTCCTGCAAATCAGATAGCTGATTCTGGCTGAAGATTACTATACAAAGAAAGCAAGAAAAAAAAAATTGGGCTCTGATTTGCATTCTTCTTTTGTAAGTGGTCCTGATACACCTCAAAAGATTTATTAAAATTAAGATGATAGCTGGAGCAAGCAGATGCCTGGCATTCCTATTTCTTGTCTCCACAAACAAAGTTAATTCTGTCCTCAAACACTGCCATTGGGATCCCACTACAGTTTCATGGCACAGGACAGTTTTTTTCCCTGGGCTCTCATTTTTACTCAAGAATTTAGCCTTTGCATTTGTTCCTATTACATTCAATAACATCAGAAAATAAACTGAAGCTCAGCTATTGTGATGCCTATGCATTCCAGTTCTGGTCAGGGCCCTGTTTCACCAGATGCCATGAACGGGATGAAGAGAAAGTCTCTGCATTACATGGAAAAGAGAAAGACAAGAAATGAAGTCATGTGTCACCAACTAATAAACAGCATCCAAAGTCCCAGTCCAGTTCTGCACCTAGTCAGCCACATTGCTCCCTTAATATGTATTTTTTCCATAGCAGGTGATCAATTTACCAAGTAGACCTGGCATCAAACAGGAGGTATAATTAGAGAACACTACATATTTAAAAATAAACCAGTCATTTGAATTCTAGATATATGGATCAAAATGGAAAGAAAGTTCAAACTGAATAGCAGAAACTTTAAGCAACCTGAAACTCCCTGGCTGTAAGACTTACTCTACTCTGACAAAACACCTCTTTCTTTGTGGGAACCTCCCGATTCGTTTTTCTAACAAGGAACTGGACACTCTGGGAAGATGGAGCCAATCAGGAAAAAAAAAAAAAAAAAAAAAAAAAAAAAAAAAAAAAAAAAACAACACAGATTTCTGAAAGGGAACAAGCGTTTATGCTGGGCAAGGTATCCTTACTTCTGAGAAAGCCTGTAAAAGGAGGTACAGGCTGCTTTGGTGTGCACTCCCTATCTGCAACACACCACACCTACCAGTAACTGCAAACACATGAAGACAAAAGACTTAATTTTCCAGCCTACTGCCAGCTATCTAGCCATCCAGACAGCAACAGGCAGCAGTGGTTCACCTGCAGTCCACGTGTTCCTGCTGCTGGGGCTGCCAAGATGTACTCTGCTGGGGCCTTCTGTTCCCGAAGAACCGACACAGGTTTTTCCTGTTTCAATGAGCCGTCCCCTTGCGGAGCTGGAAAGAAGCATAGAAAACATTCAGGTGTGGGCATTTATACAAGAGGATTCTCAGAACAAAAAGAATAACTTTCTTCTTTTTTTTTTCTCCTTTTAAACAGGGGGAAAAAAAAAAATCTCATTCCCTTTTTAAAATGGAGAAACTAAAGTAAGGGAAGAAGTAGTAATCTGTCCTGACTGTGTGAGCTCAAGGAAACATCAGGTGTAAATTCAGGCTGCCAGTTCATTGCTTTAGGTATTAAGCTGTTCTGCCTCAGGCATCAAATTTGCTGTCCAAACAAAACAACAAAAGCGGCAAGAACTAGAGGCACGAATGCATGCATCCAGAGATTAACACGGCAGAGCAGCCAAAGGACCTGGGTGCTTGCACTGAAGACAGAAGATTGTTTGCCCATTCTGGTAGAAATGACTGCAGAGAACCGAAGCAGGGACTGCTCGCACACCAGAGCCCATCATTCCCAGCAGCCACCATCACTTTTCAGTTCCAGTCTCCTCCAGCACAGCCTAGGGGATGCCAGGGGTAAAATAAGTTTCCCTGATGTTGCTGACCTGTTAAATAGAACACCCCATCATCTCTGCGCTTCACGATGATGTGATCTACTGCCAAGGTGATAGGAACAGGGCCAGGGGAGGTAGGGTATACCCGGGGGCTGTCATCCTGGAATAAAACAAAGCAGAGAAGAGATTAACTGCTGTGACAGCTCTGGCAACTCTGCAAATGATTCCCCTTGCCTCCAGCCTTCACAGGAGTAGTGTTACCAATTGGCAGCACCACCAGAGCTCACCAAGGTCACCCACTATATAGAAAAGCCTGGCTTTATATACAAGGCTGCATGTAAGTCTTAATCTCTGTAGAAAGTACTCCTACAGATCAGAACCAAGTTCTGTCATATCCATAATAAAGGTTGAGGAGAGGCCTACAACCATCACCCTGAAGGCTGCTCTCACAGTTGTCATCCTACAAATTCCCGATTCAAACCCGTAGCCAATATTCCTTAGCCAAAAAAAGCCAATATCCCCTAGTCTGGAGATTTTCATGCTGCTGTGCAGCAACACTGGTTCCTGCTTGTCAGTGGAGCCAAAGCATTGCTTTCAAAAAGGTTTAATCAAGAACTTCTGTCAGTGCCCCCCTCCTAAATATCACCCAGCTCTTACATAATGTTTTTCATCTGTAATTCTCTAAATGTTCACAGAAAAGGTCAAATATTTCCCATTTCACACAAGCACTTGGAGGAAGAGGTATTTAATTCTTTCCCTTGAGTCTGCAAAGCAGGTCATCAACAAAGCTGGGGAGAGAATCTGAATGTCAGGCTCCCATTTCTCTACAATCTGCTCACTCAACAATTCCATTGTGTTATTCATTCATCCCTGAGGCAGTTTTTAGAAGCAAAATAAAACAGTATCAGGAAAACAGAACCTCTGCTGAGGCCCACAATAATCCCACAGCATCCTTTCCCAAGCAGAATCTTGCAAGTGAGCTCTGCCCAGGCTACCATCCTGGGGGAAATCTCTGGTTCCCCATACACTCACCTTCAATGTGATTTTGGCATCCACAACTTCTATCTCCATGGGGATCACCTCTGGAATTATTTCATCCTCAAGAAAGGGGCCGAGGTTGGTAAGGAAGGACATGAAGAGCTCTGCTGTGTAACTGTGGACCAGCATATGAAGGAAGCCATTCTGCACAGCAAGTGGCGAATGCACAGCAGCATTAGGTCCCACTTCAAGACGTAAGCACACTTCTGGCTGGGTCTTACTAGCTTCAGGGACTGAAGGCTTCTCCATACCTGGATCTCCTAGAGCTACAGCAGAAAGATCTCACTGCAGGAGATGGCATCAGTAATAAGATACAAACTCAAAATAGGTATCTTGAAAAGCCCTTTACTGTCTGGCTGCAGAATGGAGTCAAGTTCACAATGACAGCAGTCTGAAACCATCCTTCACATGAAATGAGTCCAAATTTGAAATGACTAACAGTCCAGATCACAGGAACTAACACCAGAACAGGACCACTTAAGCCCACAGGCGCACCCCTCTCTCTCACCATCTCAGCAGACATTAAAACCAGCCTGCGTTTGGCATACACATGAGCTGACCAAGCTCACTCACCACCCCGCTCTCCAGAGCGCATCAGCCTTTCCCCCATCCCAGCGCTCCCCGATCGCGTATCCACTCTGTCCCCTCCTGGCCACAGGCAGTACTGTTACGGAAAGCATCAACGCTCCAAGAACTGCTCATGCTTTCACTTGAAGTTTTGGGTTGTAGTTGCTTTTGGTTTCGTGTTTTTGTAGTTGAGTTGGTTTTTTTTTTTTTGGTTGGTTGGTTTTGTGCCTTTTTTTTTTTTTAACGTGAATTTAGCCCTGGGGAAATACCCTAGCCCAGAAGCATTACTCTCTGGGCAGGAATAACTTCAAGATTTCCCTAGATAGCTTTATTCACTCTTCTCATTAATTTCATGCATCCTAGCAGCAATTAAAAAAATCCCAGTCAATGATTCCTAGCCACCATAGAGCTTGACTGCGTAGGCACTTTGGAAACGTCTTTCAAATACCAGATTTGAACCACTGACAGAAAGATTCCTGGCATTCACATTCCCTCACACAGAAGTCATATTCAATCCTAAATACACTAAACATTAACACTGAAATACCGGTTGAAATGGAGTATTCCCTGAGGGTGGCTGGTATAAAAGCCAGTTATAAAAGCGCAGCTGTAAAAGCAGCAGACTCCAAGAGCCAGCGTCTTACCCAGATAGCGACGCAGATACTGCCACATTCCAATGTTGTTCAGTTGCTCTGGAACCACGTTCGTTACTTGTAAAGCAACAGACAAATCATCACCCCGTGCTTCTATGCCACAGTTCACCTCATTCATCTTCAGCACGAGGACAGACACCTGAAACAGCAACCGACAAGCTCACTTATTAAAACAAACACCACACGGTTCACTTCCAGATTCACTTAGAGGCAATATTACAGTGAAAAGGAACGGAACTCTGACCAGCTGAAGGCTGGGGTCTTCACTCTGTGAAGTCGAGCTGTTTATGTCAGGAGACACTCCACCCTCGTCCTCTGCCATCAGGCTTGCTCTACTGCCTGTGTCATTGTGGACCTGAGGAAGATGCCCTGAGGGAAGAGGGTCCAGGCTGGGTTCTGAAATGGAAGTAAGAACAACTCGATTTGTTTCTTTTTCTGGTTTTAAGAAGTCCTGATCTCAGTATCTGTCTGAATCTCATGGCCTGTCAGCCTATACCATCCTCTAGGGAACACTCTCCAGCACCTCAGATGAATTTAAGCAATACAGAGCTGAAGTGAAAGACATCCACTGAAATGCTTGGTGTACCCTATTTCCAACCAGCCCTTACTAAACCCTTCCTAAACGCTGTGTACCATCCACCCACCTGCACACATTTACAGTCCTTGCTCTAGTGTGGCCAAATGCCTTAGAACAACATTGTTATGTACATGGGTCACCCTCCCCACTCATTTATACTCCTCATCTCAAAGAAAAGGCACCTACAAAAGCAGAAAGAGCCATCGTGGGTGAACTACTCATGACCTTCAAGAAGAAGGGATGGCACAAATTAATTCCATACGAACACAGCATGACTAAGTTGCCCATGGCAGAAAACCGTTCACCGGTGTGAAATAAGAGTGGGGGAGAGGATAGAGCCAAGCGCTTGTTACCAGAGTCCGTGAGCATCACAAAGCCGTCACTGCCATCACTGTCCACAGACAGCCCATCCTCAGGGCCGCTCCCATCCACAGAAGTGGTGTCAAAGGAATGCTGGGATGCTGTTCTCTTCATGGAGAAGAAACGCATTCGGCTGCTGCCACTCCCACCTGGAGTCACTGCTCCCTCTTCTGCTTTGGGCACAGAATCCCTACCAGAAAAAAAGTGATAAAGGCAGACAACTTAGCTTCCAGATTATACATATATTGGGCTGGATGCTGAACACTTGCAAGTCAGACATTAGTGTACTTAGACCAGCCCCAAGAGATGAAGATCTAACCTATCTCTAATCCAAATGATACGGAAAGAAAGGGAGCAGTTAGCCTACGTTTCCCCCCTTCCCTGCAGCCTTGCTGCTGCTATTGTGAAGCACAGGAGGATAGTCCACTCACTTGGCTGGGGGGAGAGAGAGCATTTTCTGCATGGTGGAGGTCATCTTCTCCCGGCTCAGGCTCAGAGCATCTTTTGTTATAGACATGGCTTCTTTGGTGAGGTCCATAGTCACATGCAGAGCGTCCTTTGTAGCATCTTTTGTGATATGCAGCGCACTAGACAACTCCACCTCTATGTTCTTCAAAGGGATGAGTTCTGCCTGGCCATTGAGAGTGATGTTTCCTCTCCCCAAGGGCTGGGTGTCTGAGGTTGGACTAGAAGGGAGAGCAGGAGGGCTCTGAGGATGGCTGCTGGTCTCAGCTGGTCTTTCTGCAACCAGGGCTTCCACAGCTTCATGCGCTTCCTCTATCAAACCTTTCTCCTCTATGCTCTTACTATGTGGAGCTGTACTCAGAGCTCCATCACTTGCAGATCTTGGGAGTCTCTCCAGCAGTACACTGGTTACACTGATACCTGTATTTTCAATCCCACTGTCCTCTGGGACCTCAGAGGTACTGCATACTCCCTTCTCCGAACTGGTCTCCGATTTCGGCTCCTTCTCTTCTGCCACCAGCCCCTCCTTGCTGTCTGAAGGCGAGAGCTCAGACTCAATCAGGCTTGTTGTGTCCGAGTCAAGGGATCTGGGTTCCAAGACAGAGCCTGGTGCGGGGTTCATGAGCAGGGCCACTTCGGCACTGTGGAACATAACTCCTACACAAGCAGACATGGAATCTAAAGGGGACCCAGTCACTTCCTGGGTATCTTGGGCCAACTGCTCCTGTAGTGTTTGCAGAACTTCTTTCATCCTGAGCAGCACTAAGTATTGGTAGTGGTTGAGCCGAACTTTGACATGAACAGATGAAGACACAAGCACATGGATATCAGCAGAGGCTTCCAGCTCTTTATCGTCTACTACATCATCAGTTTCACAGTCAGATTCTCTCAAGACATCCATTGTCTCTGGGACCTTGTAGATATTCTTCAGATCCTGGTCAGTCTTTGATCTTTGACAAACCCCATGTTCTCCAGAAAGGTTCTCATTCTTGGAGTGATTGCTAAAGCTGGCAGAAGACTTGATTTTCAACTCAGAGGCAGCCAATTCCTGTCGTTTAGATATCTGAGCTTGCCCCCATCTCCTGGGAAGGCAGGCCCAAATGGAAAGGGGAAAAGGGTCAATAAAGCTAAGGGCTCTGCCCTTTGAGCTTTCAGCCCCCTCAAAGTCCAGGGAAAGCTCAGTGAAATTCATAGACCACAGATCTTCAGAGGCAGAGGTTTTGTGTAGTAGCCGGGGAAAGCCTTGATGCTTCTGAGGCCTATCATCCACCTCATATGCATGGCGCAAGAAAAGGGTGTGGAGGAGGCTGAAATTGTCCTGAGACCTTGGGAACTTAGTGTAGCTGGAGTGGAAGAATTCTGAACTGGCAAATTTACGGAAGAGGCTCTGGAGGTCCTGACAGCTGCAGAAGGGAGCGTGGCGGGTGTTGGTGGCAGTCATCTCTGACGTGCAAATGCAGAGTGTCTGTGGACGATCTTGATGGTCAGTGACTTTCTTCTCCACGGGAATGTTAAGCTACACGGAGAAGAAAGACATCATAAGTAAAGTGGTGAAAAGGGCAATTAACAGAGGCTTATCCTGGCCATTTACACAGAACGGTCAGCTGTGGAATATATAAAGAATTGAGAAGTCTTGGTCTCTACAACAATCCCAAGAGCTGGACTACACTCTTGATTTGTCTCTATCTGAAAAATTAAATAAAATTTACAAATCAGGGAAGAGGAATCAGACACGAGGGAATTTAAGCTGAGTTTTATTTCAGGTTCTTTTACCATCCATAGCTTATATAGCAGCTCAACTTACAAGGTTCACTTTGATCCTTCTCTGCAAGGACTTACTATACTTTCAGGCCTCTAGGCCTCCTCACAAAACTGCTAACAAGGGTAGTCAATGACAAACACCATAGGATGTCAGTGCAGCAGACGTGGGCCCGTTGGGAACAGTATGAGAGTCAAAGTGGTTTCCAAGGGCCAGAAAACAACTTCTGACTACTTAAACCATCAATTTCTCCTTGAAACTGTTTTCCTAAATACTGACTTGCCTGCCTATTCTGGGTTAGAACTCAAGCACCTGTTTTACTGCCCACAGATCAAAACAAAACTAACACAAAAGTGTCAGACAGAAGAAAGGTAGAGAAAGGTGGAGGTTTTGTTTTGTCAGTCTGGACTCCAGCTATGTCCTGGTCTCATGTTCCTTCCACGACAGGGAGGGAGTGAACACTGAAGACTGGGGAAGGAAGGAAATGAATGGTACCTTCAGCCGGAAGCCATCCAGTCGAACATCAACGTGCTCATCATGCTTGCCCGAGTCCTCCAGCTTGTAGATGGCTTTGAACTGCTCCAAGCTGCGATAAAGATCCAGACAGAAGAAGTTTATCCAGAGCACACTTGCTGTATCGAGGGTAAGCATCAGGCCATTCAGCTGTACGTACAGGTTTGGGCATGGAACTAGAAAGAAACAGAATCAAGACAGATCAATAATAGCAGAAAAGGCACTTCAAGTGGTCTGCAGCTCAGTGCATAACCTGCACTGACAAAACCAATGCAGAGGGCTTCAACACCCACTGGAAGACAGATCTCTTGATGAAAGGTAGAAGCTGTGGTGCACCAGAGAAACGAGCTGTTCCAGGTCTCACATCAAGTCAGCTGCAGAGCACCCAGAGCACCCTACAGTCCTACTCCAGTGCTAATCAATAACGCAGAACCCCACGAGTTGGGCAGATACAGCAGCTCCTTCAATACGTTCCTGGATACATTATTTTGCAAGCACAACTTTGCCTCCACATTTTGCACCAGGCAAACTCTATCCCACTTTCCCACAGGCAAAAAAAAATACTAGAAAGGCAAACATCAGAAAACTAAACAAAAATGGACAGCCAGAGAATATGTAACAGGGTTAACACGCCTAAAGAATTAAGCTGACTGATGCTTTAAGAAACTTATGAAAGAAGGTGCTAACCTTGGTGTATTACCTGGAAAGTCCTGATTGTCTGGGAAGTAATACTCTGTGAATTCAATATGGATTGCAGAGACTTGATCAGGAAGTTTGAAGAATTTTCTACTGCATGAAAGCAAGGTGGAGGGTTTCTTACTTTGTTGACCAGCCGTAGAAACCTGAAAACACAACGGTAAGCATTTGTGCAGAATTCAGATTTGGCAAAATAAAGTGTCCCAGTAACCCTGCAGTCTCCTGTATTCAATCAGTCTCATTTACACATCAAACATACTCTGCTTTCAAGTAAAAATAAAACTTTTTTCTACCTGCTAATATTGTCACCTCCTCTCCTTTGAGGGAATTTAGTTCTTTATGTCTCCTGTCACTGCTAGTAAGAGCCATGACAATTAGAATTAGGTGATGTGAATAAACAGAACTGAAATCTCTTATAGCTTTCTTCAAGATTAACAGCATGTTGATAAGTCCATTATAGTATCTGGTACTGATTATGCTCTTGCAATGGTTACAGGGTATATGGATGCAGGGCCTGATCCCATCTAGTGACGCTTTCTGTCCTGGGTCAGAAAGCACAAAGGAAGACTTATTCCTCCTCTGTCAAAAATCCACATCCTCACTAACTTCTCAAATGCATGATATCTTTTACCCTGGGCCTGCCTAATGCTTTATGTAAGTTTAGATGTGAACAGAGTGCAGAAACTCTGTGATTATGCATGCAATTTCCTCTGAACATGGAAATTATTAGCAGTTCATACTTGGTTTAAAAGTTTTATGTGCAACATAACGGCATTTGGGTTCTCTGGGCAGAGTTTTTGATTGTCTTGGATGACATGAAATTTGCATGATTTATTTGAATCATACCAGATTAAATTTCTTTTTTTAAAAACGACATGAACATCTCCAGACACTGCTCAGATCCCTACCTGGTGAACATCCAAGTCATCCACTCGAACCACCACACAGCTGGATCGAAGCCGGTTCCAGGGAGGGTGACGGAGTCGTGGCAAACTTGTGGGAGGTACACGGCCTTTCTCTAAGGGACTTTTATGAGGACTCAACGAAGTATCTGTGGGGATGGAAAAGCAGAACCAGCAGGGTTTTACTCATCTCCTTTGCAGCAAACTTCACCATCAATACCAACACGTATGTGCTTACGGAGCAGAACTGTCAGCCCCAAAATTAGAAACAGATGGGCACAGCTAGGCAGCAAAAAAAACTTAGGACTTTTGAAGGAAGAACACTATGAAAGATGAATATGCTCTGTAGCAAGAGAACACATTCTTCAGCCAGGCTTTAAGTATTTAATTTACTCCTTATATACTCACTTATAGAGAAACTCAATAAATAAGCTAGGAAAGTGACTACTGCAGTCTATCCATTCTTGCTGCAGTATTATTCCAGTATGATGCTACGGACTTCTGCACCAACAAATCAGCCTGCTAAATCGGGGAGAGGTAACTAGAGATATTGCTGGATGGAGCAAAATTGTTCCCATGTCCTGCTTTACTAGGAGTTTTATCAAACACCGTTACCTGGTTTCCTTTTGAAGGGGGAAAGTGGAGTCCTGGCAAATGCAGGGTCCATTTCTTCATAAAGCTTCTCAATCTTGCTTTGAAATTCACTGACCAACTTCTTTGCCCACTGTCCTCGTGTTTCCATTGCTTCACTGTACCTCACCCAATGCTTGCAGGCATCTCCTGCATAAAAGCAAACATCCTAGCTTTAAAAATGAGGTTCCTGGACACACATAACCCTCCTATGCCCCCCGAACCTATGCAAATCTGTACAGCTTTCCTCTTTATTGATATCACATCTGGAATGTGCAATATGCAGCATACTAAGTGCTTGTGAAACAAGTGCGGGCTCTCACACAACAGAGCTGGTCCTACCAGCAAGTGTTCCAAATTCAAGTGTTGGGAAGAATGCCAAGGTCACTTTTCCTTGATTCTTCAGTTAACCAGAAACAGATTTTCTCCTGGGATACATCCTATAACCCTTCCAAATTGATTAGGCATATATAAGAACCAGATCCAGAGCTTAAGCAACTGAAAAGGAATCCAAAGTTTCAACTTTGTGTCTTCACAACAGACAGCAACTTATTCCTCTCTTTGTTCTCTGTTCTGCCAGCACTTGTCAGTCATCCACTGACAGGTAAATTAGATTAACCCTGCCCATGAGGATTTAAGTCCCAAGTCCTTTGTGTAGCCTTTCTTCCAGTCCTGTCTGAAGCCATACAGCATCACTTCTTCAAATTCTTTTTTATCCCCCTTCTCAAGTTAGGAGGCCACATGGTCTCCTACCTGCCCTGTGGAAAGGGTAATAGTCAAAAGCCATCCTCCTGAAGGTCAGCTGCATGGCACCTCCCAGCATCCCATGTTTCAAAGTGCCTGCGGAAAACAGAACAAAGAACAAAGAAAAACATGATCAGCTCTGCAATCCAAGTCCTGATTCAGGAGAATTCAGAACAACATCGCTTTGATTGCCACCACTGACTGATTATCACTGTGGACAGTATTAGGGTATCATCTTTTAGAAAGCTGTATCAAAATCTTATCTTAGGCAAGGGAAAGGACAACTGAATGTAACAGGCCAACAATTCATACCATAAGAGCCAGACCTAGAGTCTCAAATACCAAAATGCAAGACCCCATTGCTTCCCAGGCCCCTATCAATTACACTTCCCACTACGATAACCAGCACTTCTGTTTTGAACACTTGCTGGTAGGGCCAGCAAAATAAAGACAACAAAACTGTGCTAAAACATTGATAACAGCAGTTCAGGTGACAGTGATACACAGATTGGTTCAAAAAAATCTAGAATAGCAATGGATGTGGGTAGCAGAATTTTTTTTTCTCCCTTTTTTAAAGGGAAGATGTGTAGAAACAAACAGTACAACTTGGATCAGAGACGGCTGTGCAAAAGGGGGGAGGGGAGTACAATTTGCCTCAAAAGAGAAAAAAATACTTAAAAGTATATCTCAGTAGGGGGAACCCAGGAGTAAACCACATACTAATTAGCAAAGCATTGCTTGAAAAGAATATGGTAGACAGGGGAATGGCCTGTCAAAGGCAGCAAAGAATCCTTGTAGCTATGCTGCTGTGAATGTCCTGAACACTGTCAAAACAAACATTTTCTCACCAAGTGGAATGATCATGCTTTATTCCCATTGCTCAATACCAGATTGTTCCTAGAGCATATCCTCTATCACTTCAACTAGGTCACTGGCAACCACGTCCACTGATGGGCTTCCCCATGTTTGTCCCACAGAGCCAAGAAAGATTTTCCAATACCTAGTTCAGACATATAGAACTGATCTCTCCCTCAGCCTGAACAACTGCCTGCTGCCTCGCTGGGAAACAGTAACATGAAAGATGCCTGTTTTCAAGAGGAAAATCCTCCTTCGAGAGAGAAAATTGATGACCAGATTAATGTTTTCCTCCTGCAGTGTCCTCCTGATGCTGCTCTCGGTTACCTGACTCTCGAGTGTGGCTGTCATCGCAGATATGCAGATCCAAGCGTGAGATGAGGAGGTGGTATGATGACTCTTTCATGTCATGCTTATCAAAGTATTGACCAATGCTACTTGCATTTGGGCTGACTCCAAACGGCTGAGACCAGGACTGCTGGGTACTCGGAGGAGGTGGTGTGATCTATGAAAGAGAAACAAGTTGGTAAGAACTAATAGAAAGAAAAAAAGAAAAAAAGAAAAAAAGGTTATAATGCCATTAAAAACAACTCCTGCAATCTTCCAGACTGTAAGGCATCAATTTATAGAAATTGAATTGGGAGTCCAGAAATCTGGACCCTTTCCTACGTTCTCATCAGCAAAATTCTTTGTCTGTTGTTCTGCCTCCACTACATCTTGGAATATGCTTTAAGGCTCCTGGATAAAAAGGACTAAGAGTTCCTGATCCCCCTTCTATGTAATCTCACTGCACTATGTGCATGGCCCTCCTTCCGCAGCAGCGATATTCCTCTTCCCTCATCCTTGTCTCTGAAAACATCTTTTGTCCTCTGCCCTATGTATTTATTCCGTGACATTTGTCAAACAACTACTCAGCACAGCATTTTGAAACAAAGGAAGTTCAAGGTTACTGGCAGAAGCAGCTGTTCTAAGGTTCTCATACACTGCTAAGCTATATGTGAACTGAAGAACAATTGCAAAAATCAAGAGCTCTCTCCAGAACATTAGGAAGAAAAAAAGAAATCTGAACAACAGTGAAACTGGATGCCAATGTTTTCCCTTGAGCATCACAGCTCACTATGGTTTTATGTCATATTATACCAGAGTCCCTTCTCCCAGGCCTAGGCAGATTGTCACTCAGAGGCAGAAAAGATTATTTCTAGAATATGTTTATGGCTTATTACCAAATCAAATCCTCGTGGGACCCTCTGCAACTTTCCATGTGCCAGCCAGATCTGGAAAGCCATGCAACTTACCACCACTTTTCCCCTGCTATTAGACAGAATCTAGCCTGTGACTACATATGAACATTCTCTAATGCTTATTGGCAATGAATCCAACTCCTTTGGTCACTTCATTAGGCAACAACAGCCCACAGTCCACGCGATGCTGACCTGACCCCAGGTGAGCCTACCAGTTCCCATCAGGGAGATGCTCTGCGAGCAAGGGCGAGATGCCACACAAACAGAAACAGTCTCTTTCACTTTGTCTTTTCCTTTTTCCTGGCAGATCAACATTCAAATCATGACTCACTCACCTGTACAGACTCTGGTGCCAAGCTTTTCCTCTGCTGTGCAGACTTCTCCATAGCTTCACTCAGAGACTCCGCATATTTCATCATTGCTTTCAGCTGAGAGTCTGTCAGCACCCAGAGCAGGTCATCAAGGAGAAACATCAGCTTAGATGCCATCACATTGCAGTCTTTGGTCTGAAACAGCAAGGAGGAGTCAGAGACTAAGAATTGCAACCATATATATACATTCTTCATAATACACGGAAGCTGTAGCAGAAACAAGAGATGCTGCTCTGAAACTCATCTGAGAGAGAAGTTAACTCATCTGGTGGATGTCCACAGCACCTCCTCTGAGAAGTAGTCAAAGCTACCTCCTCTGTAGGAGGCAAATTGCTCACTGTTTTTTTTTTTAAAAACAAACAAACAAACAAAAACAAAAAACAAACCAGAAAACACCACACACAAAAAAAGCACAACAAAAAAAGATTTTTTTTTTTTATCTACTCTTCATCACATTTCCATTGACAGCTAAAAATAAGGCTACCAGGCTTTAATCTCCCAGTAAAGAGATGACAGCTCTCCTTGGGATGTTTGAACAGATTTAAAAGCTTGCTCCATACATGTTATCCTCTCCTGGGAAATAAACTGCTCTGACACTTAGCAAGAACACAGTTGTTTCCAGCAGAAAACACAGAGCGATATAGCAGCTTGCGCTCAACATTTGTGAAGGAAAAGAACGGTTGCTGAGGAACGTGGGAGGAAATATGCATCATCACTGCACCAGGCAGTGAGGCTATATCCTGCAAAGTATGAAGTAAACTCTCACCCTTCTCTTGAGAGAGATCTGGATCCTCCCCTGGTTGGTAATGAGTCTCAGAGGAGTAGTAACAGCATCCTGATCGCCATTGTCAGTGGCATCTGCTTCTATCCGAAGTGTCTGCCAGGTGAGCTCTTTGAACGTCAAAACCTACCCAGAAGGAGGAAAAATAGGAAAATGCTGAGATTTTCAACTACTTCAAGGATTAAACTAAATGCTTAGAAGATGTGGAATGAAACAAGGCCACAGAAAATCATTCTTCTTCTGTGATCCCAGTACAAAAACGAAATCATGCCCCAGGTAACATCTAACCCACTCTTTCACACGGCGTTTAAAACCAGACAAAGCACAAAGGCATTCAGAGCTTCTCCATTTTCACTCTCTCAGATCAGAAGAGCTCAGAGAAAGCCCTGAACACAAGTCAGCTCTCAGCCACCCTGTTCCAGCAAATGGCAGGCATGCTCACGAGGGCTCCCTGCCATCACTGTATGAGAATTCAGACAACAGCCTGATTACCCCAGAGGACTTGGGTAGCACAAGTGCCACTCTTCTGTGCACGCTATGACAGGCAACATAAGACGACGCTTTACCTCTCCTCTCTGTGGATCAGTAATGCGGGTGAGTCGCAAGTCACTCTGTTGCCAGTTTGGGTTGACACTGTACCCTTGGAGCTGCCATAGCTCAAAAGAAGCATGAAAGGCCTTGGAGTGAATCTTGATGGTGATGGAATTGACAACAATAAACATCCCCTCCACGACCTTTTCAGCAAAGCCATATTCACTGCAAAGAGAAGATCCCGCAAAGTCATCACCTACAAAGCCCGGTAGGTGTAGACCACATACAGAGAGACTCCAAGGTTTAGAAGCAATATTAGAACCACTTAAACCTGAGGGCAGAGAGGCCAGTGGTTAACCATTGAGAACAATGGCTACCCGTACCCCGGTAGCATGATGGAAAGGAACCATGGGGCTCAGGGGCTGACCTTTGACCTGCAGCAAGAGCAATGGGAGACTGTCCGTTGGGTGGCCGAGGCTCTTCGCATGTTCGCATCTCTACCTCCACTTTATCCAGGTACTGTAAAGACAGAACATGGGAGCGATAAATACAAGACCAAGACTCAAGCTCAGCCTACCAGCCTTAGGTCTGAGACTCTAGGGCAGGGATAAACAAGCCCTGGAGTCTCTTGCCTTTCCAAGAGTCTCATGTGCTAAAGCTCTCACAGCATCAGTGCCAGGATCGTTGGGTAATCTGAATCCCCAGAAGTGGGGGGAAAACAAACAACAAAAACCAGGCACAAGGTTACCCTGGACTTCACTGAGAGCTCAGCCTAGCTCCATCCTGCAGCAAAATGTGGGTCTCGTGGGAGGTCACTCATCGTCAAATAGGACTATTCTCAGAACCCCCCTTCCCCTATGTGCTAACGGCCTAGAGGATTTAGGTCAAATGAAAATTTGAGCATGCACTTCACAGTTTCCCTCCACAGAACTTTTCTCAAGTAGGAGAGATTAAAAAGAGTGAGGAAGAAAAGGAATGAACAAGAGAGGAAACATTACCAGGCAGATTGGGTGTGTTTTCAGCTTTGTCCACTGGATCTGAAACAATAAAGTTGAGGTTACAAGAGTTATCTTCGCATTGGAAAGTTTGAGAAATTCCAAGGAAGCATTTGAGCCCAAAGCTCTTCTCCGAGAAAAGACCGCGGTGACAATCCATCATGTCTTGCCGAATCCAGGTCAAACAGGCTCACACAGACAAGTGCAAAAACATTCCAGCTGCTAGACCTATAAATCCAGCTTAGCTTTTGGATCTCACATATCATCACGAGTAACAGATACCCTGCAGGTCAAATTCTGATTTTTCATATTCCTTTATGAAGAATGTTCTTGTCCTTAAAGGGTTTACAATTAATTGCTGCTGTTACCAGAAGTCAGGTAACTCTTTTGAAGACTGCACAAACCAAAAGGATCCATTTTATTTTCTTACAGCAACACTTATTCTGCAGTTCTCGTAGGAGGGAGAACAAACATTTGTTACTAAATTAAGCAGATCTGGCTCTAAAAACAGAGCGGATCAGATGAGCAAGACAGGCTCATTTTTATTGTCACTTGGAAGAGTAGAAACATATTTCTTTTATGGCAAGTCTCTTTGATATACTAAAAACTTTTGCATACATGTAATGCAACTATGGTTAGTACCAACTGAGATTAAACAATCTGGCATTTCATATCAACTGAAAAAAACCCAATTTTTAGCTCTAAAAAGCACAAAAAGGAAAAATTTGTAAGAGGAGTTCAATGTGCAAAAGTGCAAGTGCAAGCACGTGTGCAATTTCAGCAATTATGCACGTAAATGGATAACTGTGGGCACAAAGGCTGACTGAGTGCAGAGACTGCAGCTTTTCACATGCACTATTCACGCATTTCTTAGGAATTGCATTTTCAACAATTAAGTCTTAAGTTCAATTTATTTTTACAATACCTCACAGTGTAATTAGGCTTTCAGAGAACTGCACTCCATTTCCCTCTGCTTCCTATTCCTGTTGGAGGTCTGTGTTACTTCTTTAGCATTAAAAAAAAAAAAATCAGCAGGGATGAGGAAAGACACAGAAAACTCCTCCGCTATCAAAATAGCAGGGAAATGGGAGGGAATGACCAAACATCTGTCTGTAAAATCCTAAGTAACATGGAGGTGATGAACAGGGTATGATTGTTCACTATTTCTTCCAATAATCGTGCCAGGAGGTTAACAACTAAAACTAGTATATATAGCCTTGATACAAGCAAAAGCAGATGCAGTTAAGCTCCAAGATTCTTTGCCATAGCACACTCTGTATGTCAAATAAGTAAGTGAGTCCAGAGAGCATCTGGGCAAATTCCTGGAAATTCATCAGCGGCTATTAACCACAAAGACCTCACTGCTGGCTTAACAGGGCACCTGAAGGTGAGGAAGGACCACAGCACACTCTGCCTGTGTTTCTCTCAGCATCCTCTACCGTCTGCTGCCGGCCACCACCAAGGGCAGAGCACTTGCCAAAGGCGGCCTTCGGTGAAACCTGCTATGGCTACCTCATAGCTTTCAATTAGCAAATCTCACATCTAAAGCACAGGGTTTGAGATGTGTGGATTGAATCACATCATGATTCTTCATCAGAAATTCCCAAGTTACAAACAGAAGCTGCATCTGGGGACGCGAGCGCAGCCTCCTCTGCTCACCCTGATAGATGCCTTGTTACAGTAGACCCGAGTGATGGCAAGCCAGGTGGGCAACTCCAGCACATTCTGCAGCACCTCTTCATCCAGCTCCAGGTTGGTCAGCTGCCCCTGCCCTTTCAGCGTGCTCAGGTTGATTTTGTCTGGAGAGAGATTCTTGGTAAATCTACAAGAGAAGAAAGAAAAGACTAAAAACAACCCCCAGCAAAGCTGCTGAGACTAGAGGAGCCTTTAGGAGAGCTATTTTAAGGATAAGAATATGCTTGCTGTTTTGTTAAACCCTTTCTGACATTTTTAAACCCAGGGCATGTTGGTTGCTCCAGAAAAAAATGTCTTTATGCTTTGACATTTGAAGGGCTTTTTTTGTTTGGTTGGTTTTTGTTTTAAATCAAATTCAAGTTTGAGAAACTGAAAATTCTTTCTAAAGCATTGGGCACCTAGAAACCAACAAAATTGCCCTGGGACAAAACCAATGAAAACCAAAGCCAAACTGCAGCAATTTTACTCCCCCCACAAGTGCCATATCAGTGGTGGAAAGCTTAATTATCTAGACTCTTTTTGAAGTTTTTGACACAGGGAAGTAAAAGATCACTAATAAATTACAGCTGTCTCTTTAAACACCACTCTTGCAATCCAGCCTGCTCTTTGATCAGCAGGTCTAAGCATGCAACCTAACTCCCCTCCCCAGTGACCAGCCCAAGCTCCCGTCGTCCTCCTTTTGGCAACCAGCAGCTGCTGCTCTCTCTGGTTGCAATTCCTCCTCCCAAGGGCTTCTGTTGTTTCCACCTCCCTTGTACGCAGCCTTGTATCTTCAGATCCCTCATGCATCTGAGATTTAAATGCAATGGATGAAACAATTTCAGCAGGACTGCTCATGAACAGCGTATTCTGGGGCAAATTTGAAAACATCTGACTTCATTAAAACCACCGTGGCCCCTAAGGAACCAGAAGAGCCAGTTTAGAGGGCACTATACCACAGAGGCTGTATGCGTGTCAGCAACAGCTCACTGGGACGGCTGTCTTCATCGAACAACCCTTCTGTGCAGAAGGGGCCACCACCAAGGGAACGAGGCAGCTTGTGTCAGGACACTCTGCAGTCACAGGATTCAAACTTGAAGACTTCTGCCGAACAACTTACCCACTACTGAAGCCACACATTCCTCCATGCTAATGCTAATTCTAATTCTGTACCACGGTCCAGAAAGCAGAAGAGAAAGAAAGACCCTATTGTCAGCGTAAGCAGGATTAGGTTCACAGTTAGTCACACGCTGCCATTCTCTCTCCTTTCCCTGCACCAGCAGCATGGGCTGCTTCTCTGTGAAAGGCACAAAGGGCATCTTGAACAAAGTCATTGCTCAAAGAGGGGAGGGGAGCAGCAACCAGAGCAACACTGCTGGGCTGGCAGCTGATGTGGCCACCATAGGAGCACGAGGTATAGTACAAAACTGGCTGAGACGCCAGAGCAGCTGCTGGTCCAGGGCTTCCTGGAGGAAAAGTGCCTTTCCAAAGCGAGCGTTTTGTTAGGAGAAAGTCTGACGGACAGTGAAGAGCCACTGATGTCAACCCTACGCTACCGATGCAGCAGCTCCTAGAAGAGGAGGGTGGCACAAACAGCTGTGAGTTTGCCTACCACTGCTTTTTACTTTGATCCCTGCTCCTGTAGAGTCTCCTGCTGCCACAGAAGCCCGACATTTACTGTGTCATGCTGTCACCTCCCTCCCCGAGCCGAAGGTACACACTGACAGCTGATTAAAGACCGAGTTTATAACACACCTGCCAGCATCTCAGGCTGACACATTCACTTTAAACTCATTACTCCCTTTAACCGGAGGCCCTCTTGTTTAAACACACCCAGGAAGGCAGCCAAGTTCAACACTGCTTCTCAGCATCTGTACAAAGAAACAACATATTCCAGAGCGTGCTACAGCAGCTGCACCACTGGAGAGGAGATGCAGGGACAGGCTGAGTGCCTGTAAGGTCTGTGCTTGGAGTCCCGTTGTGAGCACCCATAATCTCAAGACACTGTTGAAAATTAGACCAAATATCCCCAGAGGCAACACATGAGCATCCTTGTCTTGCGTTAGTGAACCAGCTCTGTTGAAAGCTGTTGTAATCATATCCACTGGGACTGGATGCTAAGAATAAAACAAATACAACCTGAACAGGTAGGTAATACAAAGCACTTGTCACTGTTAAGCTCACAGGCTGCTGTGGGTAGCGATCAGCTTACAGGTGGGGAGAGGCTGAGGCGCAGAGCAGCTTTCTCACACTTGTAAAGCAAGGATCAAAACCCTGGTGTCTCAAGTCCTCATCCTGGGCTAAGCATGCTTAGGTGGGGAAGCTGCTTTCAGCTGGTAACGCAGGAGCAAAATATAAGGACATCTCTGAACCAGGGAATCACTTTTATTTAGCGTGCATGTGTATCAAAAAAAAACAGTAACAGAGTGAAAGGATACTAAAGCTGTGAAACAGGACACTGGTGGAGAGCGGTATGAAACATGATCTAGCTAAAAACAAACAACTATTTATAATCACCTATGGGGAAAGGCTGCAGAAATCCTGCTG